CTTAATTAAAAAAACCAAAAATTTAAAACAATGATATTATCTAAGACGTCTAAAGATTTTAAGTCTAAAAAAGCAGTGTCATCTTAATTAGCTCACTTATTTGTGTACTAGTGTAGTAAACTTTAAAATTGCAGATACTCTTAATAATATTTATTCAGGTCTTAATATAGCTACTTGCACAGTCTATGAGAACTTTTAGAAGCTTAGTTATTAAGTTTATGTTCCTAAAATAATCTCATTTTTCACTTCAATTGCAAAAAAGAGATGAATCTTTTAGACAGAAGTTCATAAAAATAAAAATTGGAAAAATATAAGGAAAGTTAAAAATGGATTAAATAAGTAAAAGATAATTTAAAATAGAAAGAAGAATATAAAATTAGAATAATTAAAAAAAGAACTAAAAGAATTTTAAATATATAGATAATTGTGAGTTTTTTATAAGAATAAAATTTGTTTAAAATAATTCTAAAAAAGTAGAATTAAGGTTACTTATCTAAACTTATTTTGAAATTGATAAAACATTTAAACTTTAGTTTTATTAATTTTTTTTAAGGTTTTGATATAGTTTTGTATTTTTATAAGCTTTAATATAATTTTATTTTTTTTAGAATTTTGCAATTTTTTAATAAGGTTTTAAAGTACAAAAAGATTTATATCTCAAAAAATTGTCTATAGAAAAGTTTTTTATAAAGTAAATTTTTTTATTTATTTAATATATATTAATATAGATTAAATTATATATTACTGTTAAAATTTTTATAATTATTAAAAATTTTTATTAGTTAATTACATACTTTTATTATTAGATTAAATTTAAAAGTAATTTTTTATTTGAGCTAGTTTGAATTAATAAAAATGGTAAAATTAATTTTAAATTCGAATTTTTCTTGATAAAATGATTATAATAAGCCTATAATCATAAAATTCTGATTATTAGCTGTGGAGAAATTGATTATTAAAAATCAATATCACACAAATATTTTTGTGTAAATGATATCAAATTTCAACAATCAATTTCTCCACAGCCAATGATCAAAATTTTATGATTTTAGGCTTATTGAAATCGTCTCATTAAGAAAATATAAATATAATAATTAAATTTTATTAGAATTGATTCAATTAGTTTGTATAGATTATTATAAAATTTATTATATAAACATATATCTTTTATAGTGAAAAAAATAAATTATTAAACTTTAAAACTTGATTTCTTAATAACTATTAATTTAATTTAATTAAAATTTAAAATATATATTTATTGTATTATTATATATAAAACTATGTACTTATATAATATAAACTCATAAAATGCATATATTATAAAAAATATCAAAATTTATTTTCTTAATAAAAAATATATTTATTTTTTTTTAAAAAAATTCAAAAGGTTTGCTTATTAAATTTTATATAAAAAATATAAAAGTTAAAAAAAACTATATAAAAAGATAGATTGAAGTATATTTTATATTATATAAAAAATTTATAAATACATTATTAAAATTTAAGAATTTTTATATGTAGACAAAATTAAAATTTTTTTTTGCTATACAAATCTTTTTGTACTAGATTATATTTATATTTAAAAATTTTATTTGTATTAATAATTAATTAATTATATTACTAAAGAACAAGGATCATTATTAAGTTTAAAACAATTTTAACTAAAAAAAATATTGCAAAAGCTAATTAATATTAACTCAATTATTGAGTGAGCAGACATCTGAACATTTTTTTACTTTGCATAGTATTATATAATCTTATACTAATACTTTAAACTAATAATTAGAAATAATTAAACAAATCAAAAACATATTTATAGAAATAATTAGATAAATTAATAAATAATTAAAGATTTTTGGTGATGATTCTATTAAAGATAGTCTCTATAATTATTTTTAGATTTTAATTGAGTTATAACTTAATTATACCATAAGAAAATTTAATTGTATCACAAATTATAATTCAATTACATTATTTTTTTAATTGTAATAACCATCTTTAATTCTAATAATATTTGACGATTCTATAATTTAAATTATTATTATTTATGTAAAGTATTTTATTAATTTAATTATTAATTACATATTTTACAGTTTTTCAACTATTTAAATCTTAAATTTTTTTTTCTTCAATTCTATCATAATTTTTATAAATTTAATTATTTTTATAAAATTTTGAAATTTAATCTTTTTAGCAAAAGTTACCATATCAAAGAAACATATAATTACATAAAAAAGGTCATTACATAACTTTTTTAAAAAAGAAACTATTTTTCTTATAACAGAATAACTATATAAGAAGATTTTTTAAAATACTGAAAATAAGTTTTTTTAAATATTATCAAATAATATGTAATCAAAGGAGATTTTTATTATTTATATAAATTGATATCATAATTTACTCTTATTCAAAAAAATAATATTTATAATTTTAATCATAAAATCTACTAATTTGTCAGAATCAAAAATTTATATTTACAAAAGATTAATATCTATAAAATGCTTCTTTTGTCTCAAAATCTACTTTAAGAAATTTCTCAAGAATCATTTTAAAAGTTCCTTTCAAAACTCCTCTTTTATTATCAATAAATATTGATTATAATAATAATAATAACATTTACTTACTAATTAATTCTGAATCTTAATAATTGAAAATTTTACTTATATTATATTTTTAATTAATGAAAAATTACTGTAATTTATAAATTTTATAGATTTATTAATAACCAATAACAAAAAATACTTAAATGCTACAAAAACTTATTGCAGTTAATGAACTTACTAATGATTTCTAAAATATAAGCTATTTTAATATATTTAGCAACTATCATTTAATTTTAAGATACATTTAAAAATAGGCTAATTGTCTTTACAATAAGCTTATAAAGAAATTGCTAAAGATTTCGTACTAGTTATACATTTTTTATCTATAATTGAATATCAAGATGCTTTAAAAAAATATCTTAAAATACATATGAAGCACCATATTAATATCATTAGAGTTAACAATTATATCACTATTTGAAGTAAAATTATTACTAGATATATGAAATCAATCTTAGAATCTTTAATTATTATTTAAAAAAGTTCTGATTTCTTTTTTAATTTTAGATTAAAAACAAATATCAAAGCAATTAAAATGATTTTACTGCAAGTATTTAAAATGCTTTGTTTTTTACTTTAGAGAATAATGATTGAAATGTGTGAATAATAATACATCTTTAATGAAGTTAGTCAAATGGAAAAAAGACTTAAGAATGCAGATTTATTTATAAAATTTCACAATACTGGTTAAGATCTGCACAATTTCTATAATTTTTGTTACTGCGCATTTCTGCTAATCTGGCACAACTTGAAAGTGCAGGAACGATTATTTTGATATTTCTATGGTATCATGTCAACAAGAACGGAGTGGCATTTTAATATGTATACTTCAGATAGCATCTACGCCATGAGTAGTAGTGAGTACCAAATTAACTTTTGAAGTCTGCGATCAAAGAAAATCTTTCAAATTTGCATTTGCGAATATTTAAATTTTTTACATAATATTAAAAATATTTAAAACTTGGTAATTTGGCCAACTAAATTTGGCTAAATTATAGGTCACGTGCGGATGGAAAAATTTTGTAGTGTAAAACTTTCGTAGCATTAGATCTTGTGACTAAAGTTAGGTAAGAAATTGAATAATATCATGTAGCAAGCTATGACCTGTATTTTTATACGATCAATAAAGCAAAGGCACAAATTTACCAGGCATTTTATAATTTTTCACATGGAGTGGGTTATGCAATTGTGTAAAGTATGTGCATTATTTTTTTTTGTAGCTTGATAAATAAATGCTCAACAACATTATTAGTATATGCGTCACGTGCATCACGAGAACATATTCTCAAAATTATAATGTATATTATTAAAAAGGCTCCTTGATGATCTTTACACATGAATAGCGTTAAATTCTTTATTGTTAAATTAAGAAGAGGCCGTTGATCAGATATTTATGATGTAATCTTATTAACGTAATTTTTCCCAAAGTGTATTCCAAGATCGATCCTGCAAATTGTATAAAAAGGTGATGTCCCTGATAGATCCGCTTTGCACAAGGAATGCAAAAAATTCTAACCAATCAAGCTTACCATTATTAAAATCATTGATATTAACAATTAAAAGAACTCGTATTTTTCGCAAAGTAATAATGTAATAATAAAATAAGTGGTTTAGCTAACTTCTTGAAACATGTCATCACGATGTTAATCGATTTTCCCGACTCTATAGATGTTCCAAAACAAAATGGGCATATTACCCTTCTTGTTATATATCGGCATTTTGATCTTTGCCGAGAAAATCAACTGACCATCATCACGCGTATAATAGGCGCGAAATAAGTAAAGTCTGATGCAGTATCACGAAAATATTATCTAATCTAGTCGACTCCACGTATCAGCGCAGTAAAATTGCTGGATAAAAAATCAAAATATGAGGCGGTGTGGGATATTATTATGATAAAATGAATTATATCAGTAAGTATGACTCACCCTTTTTTATTTTTTATTTTTATCCCATTGCTAATCTCAAGAATTCTTCCTATAGATTCGAAATTAATCTCGGGGAAGTTCTCTTGTGGGGAAATAACCTATTATAAAGTCTGTATGGAGTGATATAGATAGACGAAAATTCTGTAGATATGAGTGGACAATTTATATCGGAAATTTAATGTAGCAAAAGAGTGTAGAGAGAATCTTGTAGTTAGCGATAGTGATAGAAACAAATTAGCTGTAGAAAATGAGAGAGAGCAAAGGAATAATATGATGCTGGGACTCAAGGTGTTAGACGCAAATTCTGTCTTAAGTTTCCAGATAAAAACATAGCAGTAGAGGCTTAAATAGATGTCTATCAATCGAAGGTCCGCATCTTACTGATGAAACATGGAATCAAGATACGTCTTGTTTGTAATAAAGAATTATATAATACATAGTAAATGGTATAAGATGATTATTTCAATAAATGAAAAACGTTCACAGTCGACTGTACACTGGAAAACAGCATGCAAAGACTAGGGCCTTAATACGTATGATTAAGGACAGCTCGGCAGACTGCCTCCAAACATCTGAACGTAGGACGGGATGGCCTAACGACAGTAGGTATAGTGAACGCATCCTGGAAAAAACAGCATGCAGGGACTAGGGCCTTAATACGTATGATTAAGGACAGCTCGGCAGACTGCCTCCAAACATCTGAACGCAGGACGGGATGGCCTAACGACAGTAGGGATACGCGCGACTGTGAGGTTCGTGAATGCATCTGATGCGTGTATTAAAAAATAATAATCAGGTGACGTAATTTTTTAGGTGGCTTAGAACGCGTCTATATACTGAACTACCAATTTCTCAAATCGTAAAAAACCTAATAACTCGCGACGGAAATTGTTTTATAAGGTCAATCAATTCTGTCAATACGTTTTCAAATGGATAGACGACTAATTATTTGTGTTTGTTTATAGATGTATGAACCAATTGTGACGGAATATCTCGATAAAACATTAAATAAAAATTGGTCAATCCTCGGAATATTAGAATTTGCACGACCCAAATTATCTCTAGATACAATTAATGATTTCAAAAAAGATTTATACACAGTATTACAGAGATATCTAGAAAAATGCAATGTTCACATCAACGCAAAAAAAAAAGTGGAGAGGATTTTAACTAATTTTAACACATATTTCTCCAGTGCCAAAGTGAGGCAATTCATTATTGAACTTGAATATAACACGGAAACACGCATGAATGTCACGTCTGCCTACACAATTGAAGTTTTGAAGGTAATTTTTGAGAAAATTTGAAAACAAATCTCACAATGGGCTTATCACTTCAATAATTTTTAGGATCAGCAAGATAATCGAAAGCTCATCAATCAATTAAGAAAAGACAACATCTCTAGTATAAATTCAAATTTGGAGGACAGACAGGAACAGGTTAATGAAAAGATATTGAGTACCAAAACGAAAATGTACAAATCGGAGGTTAATGTTCAAGTGACTTGCGACAGGATTGCTTCTCTACGTTCGGCAGACCCTTCTACAGGGGCATCGCAATCAAACTTTCAGGAGAATGGAGAGAAGGATGAAGAGGAAGATGAAGAGGAGGATGAAGGGGAAGATGAAGGGGAGGATGGAGAGAAGGATGAAGAGAAGGATGAAGAGGAAGATGAAGTGAAAGATGAAGACAATGTTACAAATAATAATGCTAATTATGTTGCAATGGAGAATTATCCAGAAAATAATTATAATCATAACAATGATTTTGTTGAAGTTACCTATGTAAATAGATTAGAATTTCAGAGTCGTACTAGACGTTGGCTCTTGTCCAGTGGAACAGATGTTTTGAATGTTTTGTCGAAATATGAGAAAACAGTCCCAGAAAATCAAAAATGTTTAAAGTGAGTTATGTTCATATCGTATTTTATCGATATTAATAATTGTTGTTTACGTGGTACTTGTAGCCCCGTTTGTTGGGGCATTCTAGATCTCACCGGCGCCCATCCCGAAACCAAAGCTTTATTTTCACCAGAAGATTGGACAGAAATGGTTAACAACTTTGAACAAGAAGTGAAACTATCACAAACAGATATATCTGATATTGTGATTCATTTTTTTGATGAAGTAAATCAGGTATTTAAAGGTAATTTGAAATTTTATCCGATGACATCTCTTCTTTATTGAATCATGTATTTGCAGATTGTTAAGAACAATCACGACCCTACAATGGAAATCGATAGACTATTTCCGGAAGTCATCGAAAAGAAATATAATATTACACTCAGCACAGAAGAAAAAGCCAATATTTTTGCCCTGAAACGTGCCATTGTAACATAGTAAGTCGATGTCCATTTTTGTTGATTTTAGTTAAATTTTCTTTTGTTATTTATTAATTCATCTTGACCATTTTTAAAAGTATCGAAAATCTCAAAGGGACCGATTTGTTAGTCTCGGAATCAGATTTCGATAACTCTTTTCCCAATATGCTTATGAAGAGGTTTTTGGATCAAGACGAAGTGAAAATAGATGTGTAGGTTGCGAAAAGAGAATCAAATATTCACATTCAACTATATTCATATATGTTTTTATTCTATATTCTAGAGGAGAAATCTGTTGTTGGGGGTCTGCGCAACGTCGAAACGAAGGTCGCTCAGTGATATTACGCGCTAGAGTTGGCCAAAAGTGCGACTTTAGAGGGATACTTAAAAATAGCTTAGATAAATTAGAAGCCATAGTTGGTCTTAGAAGCGGTGGACTTCCAACGGCACATCGGCGAAAAATTTTCGAGGATCATATAGATTTAAGTGTAACCATGCGTGACATTCTGTATTCATTTTTTAAATCGAATCAAAATGCTTCAGATGATATTTTACATCGAACATTTTTGCTTGGGACTCAATCTTGGGGTAAGCAAGCAATTATTATAAAATGCAATAAGATAGGTGGAGTTTAACATTTTTCACTTTGCTCCTAGGGTGGACTCATGATGTTTACGGGATGGACTGCAAAGCAACAAATATTTGCAGATTCGGGAAGCTTTGCAGAACAAAAATGCCACACACTTCTGGGACAATAGGTTGTTTGGAGGCTTTTTATGCTGTTATGTTAAACATAGAGGTAATTATTATATGTATTCATTATTATACTATACATTCTCTCAAAATTTAGCACGTTTATTTAATTCAAGGCTACCCTTAAAGACATTCGTGAACATGTCAATAGCGTTGCACTGGCTCATTCTCAGGCACACCGGAATGGAAAGAGAAAATTTGAAGACTCTAAGGTTGGAGGCTGTTTCGGAGAAATTAAAACATCCCCAAGAAAAATTCGCACCAAATATTTGTAAAAAAGCTTACGTAATATTATAAATCTTTCAACATAGATAATAAAAATAATAGAACTACAGTATTAACGATTCTGCATCAAGTCATTGATAATTTCCACTCATTATTATTGCTTATGGGATTCACGAATGTACAGTAGTTTTTCTTGTAAAATTAATTTATTTACTGAGTGATTTGCTTATCGTTATTTACTACAAGTGATTTCATGGATACACATACCCCGCATATATGAAATCACAGCTTGAAATGGGCGAAATGAATTTTAGAAAATCTCGTTCACAATATTATGTGACTATTAACCGCAATTACTATATCATGACAATGCGGAGAAACTTACCTGTTGTATCAATTGTTTAACACTATTATCCACACCGATACTATTAAATTTTTCTAGCCTCTTCTGTATTCTTTCAAAGCACTGTAAATTTCTCAAATTTGGACGATAATTGTAAGGGGAGGGCCAGAAATTACGTCATTTTGATTTTAAGGATTTTGACCCTCCCCCGGTCATCATTTTATTACTTTTAAATAAGGAAATCATATAGTAATGTCATCCTAGGTGAACCCCTCCCCCCTTAGGAAATTACGTCATTTCTGGCCCTTCTCTAAGTTAGTTGTGCCAAATTTCCCAGATCAGTCCACACCTTGAAGCATAACTTCTGCAGGAGAAAACCATCTATTTTAGCAATAAAATTTTTTAGAATATGGACTTCTTGTTATTTCACAACTTTGAAGTGATATATAAATTAAGGGTGCAAACATTTATATGAGTTATAACTTTAGTTATAACATTAATAAGATATAAAAAGGTTATAACATATACATTTAAAATTTTATATGCTATATGCCTATTCTATATGTTATATCGTCATATTACTTATATGTTAATTTCGTTTTTATTTCAAAATTTATTAAAAGCAATCCAAAAAAAATTACATATAATAACCATTAAAAAATCAATTTAAATTTTCTTGAAGAAAAGAATTAACCAAATCTTCTGGATTATATTCTAAATCGGAGGGTAAAATTATATTATTTTGATCTTTTTCTTTGCTATGTAATTCTTTATCATTAATATCAAAAATTGGTAAAGTGAGATCAATAATATCTTATAAAACCAAAGTATCTCTAGAAGATGTAACATTTGAATCATTAATAATAAAATCATTAACCAATTCTTCCTCGTCAGATTCTAAAGTCATTACTGTTCCTATAGATGAATAATTTGCTGCTTCTTTTAATTCATTATTTGTTAGTTCCTTACCATAATATAAAAGTTCAGATTTGATATTAGTTAAATAATATGATCTAATTTTGATCATATTTTCAAGTTTTTGTACTGTTAATCTAGTTCTTTGATCACCAATTAACCATTTAAGTATCGAAAAATTCTGCTCACAACTAGACTGAAAAGGAATTATTCCAAACAATTGAAGTGCAAGTTTAGCTAAATGATAAGAATTATGTTTAATAGAACCTCACTATAATTCAGAAGTATCCATATTTTCAATATAAGGTAGATCATAAGGTGCCAAATAAGCTTCAAATCGACACAAGTGAGAAATTAATTCATAACTTTCTTGCTTATCATAACTAAGACTTTGCCATAATTTTGTTGCAATTAAAGCAGCATCTTTGAATCCCCCATTACGTAATCCACGACTTATTTAAGTAAATTAATATTAATAATAAAATTTAAATATATAAAAAAAAATTATAAAATTATACAAACCTTTAAATTGTAAATGTATAAAATAATAAAGTAAATATGCTGTATGCTAAAATTTAATATAACGGACATTAAATACATGTATAGCTGGAATTTTGAATGGATTTAGATTAGGTAACCGATATATTGCTATTGCTAACTTAATTATATGAATAAAGCAATCAGCTAAGGTTGCGGTATTTGATTCTAGTATATTAATACATTCTTTAATAAGAGCTCAAATTAAACGAATATGCTGACATGTAATAAAAAATTCTTCATTTTCTAACAAATTACGCACTTCTATATTAGAAATAATATCCTGATACTCAAGAATTATCTAAATATTTGTAATGATTAATTAAAAATTTAATAATAATAATATTTTATTTTATTAAATATACAGTGGCTTTCAAAAGTAACGCACTACTATAATATTAATTATTAAATCACATATTTGTTGATCAAAACAAATTTGTTTGATCCAATAATTTTTAAAAAAGTAGTCTAAATGTAGATCTTTAAAATAAATAAATATTACCACTTTTTTTGTATGACAAAATTAGTGCTACGTCATCATTTTTCCCAAACTATAGTGTGTTTCTTTTATCATTTTGTAAAAAAAAAATTCTGTAAAAAAATTTTTTTTCTTTGTAACTTATAATAAATATAATAATAAAAAATACTTTTATACTTACATTCTTTTTAAAAACTATTTATCTTTTAAAAATTTCTAAGCCTAAACTAACCATAGAATAAAGAACACAAGTAATTTTATTACTTGAAGCTGGCTTTAGTGCAAGGGAAATTGCCGCTAAGCTTAGTTGTAGTAGCCATTCTTCAATTGTAAGACTAAAAAAGAAATATTAAGAAATAGGTAAAATCAAAAATAAGAAACGTTCAAGCTGTTTACGCAAGTTAAATAACTGTAATGAATGTACCATTATATGACGCCTAATAAATGGAGAATGTTCAAATGCTATTCAGCTACAAAAATCTTTAAAACTAGTGATAAAATTGAGGTTAGCGCCAATAATGTTAGGAGAGCATTAAGAAAAAATGGGTTAGTAGTCAGGGTAAAGTGAAAGAAGCCTTTTCTATCCAAAAAACATTATGAAAAACGTCTCAAATTTGCTAAAAGATATAAGAATTGAATAGTAAATGATTGAAGCAAGGTGGTATGGTCAGATGAATCAAAATTTCAAATATTTGGTTCAGATGGCCATCAATATTGCTGGAAAAAAAGGAGAACCTCTTAAAGATACTCATGTTAAATCTACTGTCAAATTTGGTGATGATAGTGTTTTTATGTGAGGGTGCTTTACTTCTCAAAGCGTTGGTTATCTTTGTAAAATTGATGGTGGACTTGATGCAGAACTTTATCGTAAAATCTTGGATGAAGATTTTATGGAGAGTTTGAATTATTATAATTTAGATATTAGTAATATAGTATTTCAACAGGACAATGATCCGAAATATACTGCTATACTTATCAAAAAGTGGTTTGAGAACAATAATATGGAAATTTTATCATGATCAGCATAGTCACTAGATCTAAATCCTATTGAATATCTTTGGAATGATGTTGACCATTGACTTAGAGGATTAAATATTAAAATTAGAGAGAAGGATTCTTTATGGGATCATGTTTCTCAAATATGAAATGAAAAAACATTAGAGATATATACTAAACTAATTGAGTCAATGCCAGAAAGGATAAATGATGTAATTAAAGCTAAAGGTGGCTATACACGATAGTAAAAAACAATATAATAAAGTTTTTAGTAATATTTTATTAATTATTTTTTAAAAAAAATGTATATTTATCATGCATATAAAAGTGCTAAAAGTAATGTATCAAAGTTTTAATAAACATTATGTGATTAAAAAAATGGGTTTATTAATTATTATTAAAATTGCTGCATTATGTTAATCTTATAGTATATTTATATATAAAAAATATTGTATTAATACAATTTCATATGATTGTTAAACATATGATTTAATAATTAATATTATAGTAATGCGTTACTTTTAGAAGTCACTGTATATATACTTATTCAATCAAAAATAGAACGTGCTTATAAAATAGAATCTGTCATTATAAACAATGATCTCTATCTAGTTTTATCCATGTATGCAATCTTTCAGATTTAATCATCATTTGAGCTAAACTTTGACATAATATAGAATAAGCCTGATGAGATTTATGAAAAAATTTTGTAATTTTACTACAATTCGCTATAAATTTTTGAATCTCATCAAGTTTTACAAGATCTGCTACTATTAAATTAATAGTATATGCAACGCATCTAATATTCCAAATATGAGAATACATTTCCTCTATTTTTTGTGCTACATAACATGCTGATGCAGCATCAGTAATGATAACTGCAAATTTTTTTGAACTAACTTATTCTATAATATCTGAAATTTCATTAGCAAGCATTAAACCAGTATGAAATTCTGCTGAATAATTCCTTAAGACAATCAAATATTCTTTTTGTGCAGGTATTGATATAATATAATTATATAATGAATCATTTTTCTTTGATGTCTACCCATCTAATGCTAGTAAAATTGTATAATAAATATTATAATATATATTTATCAATTAAATATTAAAATTTATTAAATATAAAATAATTTATTAATAAAAAAATAAATAAAATTATATATAAAAATTATTTAACACTAATAATAATATATACAATATAATTTTTAATAAAAAAATACAAATTTTTTAAAATTAAAACTCAGATATTTACTTAATATTAGATGGTCTAAGAATTTCAATTCTTTTTCAATATTCAGAGAAACTCGAGTGACTTCTTGATCTAATAATTGTTCAGATAATGTTGTTCTCAATGGAGGAATATATCTTAGATTAAGTTCTTGAAATAGATCACGAATAAAAGGGTTATCGATTACTTCAAAGGAATTTCTGCTATTACTCATGCTTTCAGTAATGATCGGTTAATTTGCTCAGTCATAGCTAGTGGTAAAGGTTTATCTGAGCCAAAGTGGTAAGTTATTTGATATTATTTTAAAAGTGGTTGAATTATGATTTTTTGTTTACAGGTATAATTTGTTAATTTAGTAGAAAGTTTATTTTGCCAAAATTTACTAATATCTTTAGGATATTACAAACATTTATTAGAAATGTGAGCTTTAAAGTTCTCAATTTACCCTTTTGCCATTTCTTTTCACAATGATAACAAGTAGCAGGATAGTGTCTATCATTTTTTTCATTGCCTATGATAAAATATTTCTATACTTCATCTCTTTTAGGATCACCCTTTTTGTTTGTTTTTTGTCATTTCAATGTATTTTCAGTATTATTAACATGCTTATTATTTTCCTCCATAGTTAATTTGAACATGACAAATAAAAAACACGTTATTAAAAAAAAATACAAATTTAAAAAAATTTTATATTTTTATTTTATATTTAAACGGGTTGAATAAGTTTGAAAAAATTTGAATATTTTTTTTCTATTGATCTTCTTATAATAATTCACATACTTACTGTTATACTAATTTTTTATAGAATCTATCCGCAGTTTATGGTTAATTACAGTCAAATAGCAAATAGTTACGATAATAGTTATGACAAATTACGATAATTATGGTAAATGATACTATTTACGGTAAGTAACGCTGTTACGACATCTGGTAGTACTGTATTGCCATATTCTTTTAACTCTAATAGTTCTAACTCTATAGTACTGATATGTCTACACTCTTATTTTGAATCTACCTACATCGATCTGAATATATTCCATTTCTTAATAACTGTCAATTCTAATAGATATAAGCGCAAACTTATTTTTTTAAAAAACAAATTATTAAAAGAAAATAAAATAAAACTACCAAACATTAATTTTATTTATATTATCTAAATATTCCTTTAAATTTTATTAATTAATAAATATAATATTAAGTAAATTAATAATTTATAATACTTCATTATTTCTTAAATTTAAATTTATATCTTTTTTTTCAACTTTTTTTTTGATTTCTTTTTAATTTTTTAGACAAATTAAATATTTGTATAAATGTAAGTTTTTGCTTATTTTATAACAAAATTAATTAGAAAATTTAAAAAATGTTTTGTAGTTAATAATGAAAAAATTAAAAATCATTGTTTTGCAGTTAAGAATAATAATGTATAAGCAATAAATTACAATATATATATACAAAAAAATCATTTTTTTATTTTATTTTTAAGTATATCCTTTATAAATTTATGTCTATTAATATCTTTTTACCAAATTATTCAATTAACTTTTTGGTCATTTTATGTGTACAATTTTTTAGATTGGAATTTAAATTTTAATTGCAAACTGATTTATAGATAAATTATATAGTATATTTAATTTATATAGTTAATAATATATAATAATATATAAAAAAGTTTAATTTTTATTTTTAGTTGATAAAAATATTTTATGAGTTTAGTTATATCAAATTAATAAAATAATTTCATTTAAAATATTAATTTTACGAGTTTAGTTATATCAAATTAGTAAAATAATTTCATTTAAAATATTAATTTTACGTGTTAGTTTTCAAATTCAAAAAAATATATTATTTATTAAAATAATTAAAAAATAAAAAAATATTTTTTTGAAACTTTCATAAAAAAAATGTATTTCTAAAAAAAAAAATTTATTTAAAAAAAAATTTTTTTGACTTTTCATCAAAAAATTTATTAGAAAAAAATTTTTTTGACCCTTTCATCAAAAAAATATTTTCTAAATAATTTAATTTTATTAATATTAGCATTAGTTTTAGTAGATAATATTGGTTTTTTTTAGTATAAGCTTTTATTATTTTTTAACGTTAAATTTTTTTACAAAATTTTTTTCGCGTAGCGATATATGGCCACGATATATGGCCATTCACGTGACTAATAAATTTTGCTGAGTATTTTTTTTTATTCAAATAAATGCGAAATTACATATAAAGTATGATTTAAGCTATACGAAGACCAAATTTTGTTTTCAAAAAAGGTTAAATTTTCTAAAATTAATTATTCATTTTAGGAATGATCGGTAAGATGCTCGTCCGATCTTGGGGTAGCTTGCAGAAGGCTAAAACATGTGACATTTCTCGATGCGCGCCATAATCAATTTACGCCATAAAAAAATTTTTTTCGCAAATCTACTGTATATATTTAATCTATAAATTGAATTTCATTGTACCAAATTTTTTCGTCAAATTCTTTTCATTAGGTATGCCTGTACCAATTGGAAACCAAGTATCACCGTCGGTCTTACTTCCTTTCCCTCCACTTACAGAACAACACATTCTTAATTGTGTATTTTCGTCCTGGTATAACAATTTTCGACGTGTCACTTTAAAATCCAAAATAATTAAGCCTCTACCAGAAGAATTCATCGAATACTTACATGCTGATGGAGTATTTCTTCCTGAACAAAAGTAAATATAATAATATTTATTATTTTTAAATTTTCAGAAAGATTGATCTTTACTTTATTATTTGTCTAGTTATATTGGAGGAAATCATTTACGAGAAGTTAGTGATGATGATGATGATGAATTTGATATCAATGAAACTGAATTTGACGATGATGAAGAAAATGTATATTATTTTATTCGATTTTCACTGGATTCCACATCAATTTTTTTTTTGATCTAATATATTCTTGTAAATTAATTAAGCAACCACTTCCAAGTTTTCCAGAATTGGAACAACAGATTTGGGATACGATTGACGAATTTGATGGAGCAGTTTTTCCAAAACTCAATTGGAGCTCTCCGAGGGTAATTAACATAATATACTATTTAATGGATTTAAATGAAATATTTCATTTTTTTTCTTTTTTTAAGGATGCCACATGGATTTCAGCTACCAACACACTTAAATGTAATTCTCCATCTGACATATTTCTTCTCCTCAAATCATCCGATTTCGTTGCCCATGATCTTGATCATGCATTTGATGATTGTCATTACAACCATCAAGATGCTCCGAGAAGGCATCGACCAAATGTATTTGAATTGGTGTTGAAAAAGTGGTACGACGTAGCACCTTCTATGGAATTTAGATGTTTTGTAAAAGAAGAAGAGTTAGTTGGTAAGCGCGTATTCGATTTATAATAATATTAAAGGTGTGTCAATTTTCGCGCAATTAATATGATTTTAGTAAATACACATAATCACACTCACTTTCAATTACTGATATGTTATAATCATCATTGTCCTTTTGAAAAAAAAATTTCTCAAGCCATATCACAACGGGATATCAACTATTATTCATTTTTAAATGATATACAAGAAGAATTGAAAACAAAGATTATTCAATTTTTCGAAATTCATATACAAAATAAGTTTTTTAATCAAAATTGTATGTAAATTACAAATCCTTTATATACTTGTTTTATAATAACTAACTTAATTACGGTTTCAGATGTTTTTGATGTATATGTGACACGGAATAGAGAAAGAGTTTGGTTGATTGATTTCAATCCTTATGGACCTATGACAGATAGTCTTATGTATACGTGGGAAGAAATTTTGACAGGTTTGTTCAGTGAGAGAATTTTTATATATAATTTAATTAATTCTTGTAACTGAGATTATTCGCGCGAATTCAGCAACTGGACCACCATCATTTCGACTGATCACCTCTCAAACTGAGTCTAGTCAATCACGTAGTCAACCATTCGCTGTTAATCGTTATCCACGAGAGATTTTTGATTTATCACAAGGTCAATCTATTGCCGAATTTGCTGAACAATTCCAACGTGAATTAGCGATCGCTACTGTTGGCAGCGATGGAGAAGAAAATGAAAATGAAAACAATATTATTAATAATGTCAACCAACATCCCCAGTCATAATAGAAAATTGTATATAATATGGTAGAAAGAATTCCATATAAGATAGAAACATGTTTTATTATTATTATTATTATTATTATTATTTTTATAATATTATTTAATTGTATATTTAAATTCTAGCTATTTTATAATAAATTGGTTCGTTACGGGAATGTTATTAAGTAAAGGAAATCCTCGTACACGTGATTTTATATAAATCCTCCATAATTTGGAGACGCCACTTTCACTTGCCATCTTAAGCAACATTTATTCTTTTTTGGTGAGACGGTCCCACACTTCTTTTCTGTAAATTGATTTACATACATATATGATCAACGACATAAAAAGTGAAAATAATTTAGCGAATTGATACATACAAGCAGGGTTGGGAAATTTGAATGTACTAGGCAAATTTTGACCTTGTACTTGTACTGTTCTATACTAAATTTTATATTAATTATTATGTATACTAACTGTACTAAACTGTATTAAGCTGTACTAACTGTACTAATTTCCCAACCCTGCATACAAGGATCGGTACATAATTTTGATGTATTCGCACTCTTCTTGCTGTCTTTCTAGATTTTGAGGTTCCTGAACATTTAATAAGCTATCGATTCACTTTATGAATTCCGTCGTAAAACCCTTCCAATTTCGAACATTTTCATATTGGCTTGCTTCTTCCAGTAAAGATTTTGGTATCAAATCATTAATAATAGGATCAATTCGATCCAGGTTCAATATAAATGAGAGTAATGGGTTATTAAATGAGAGCTTGGCAAGGTCAATAGATTTCATTTTTTCTGAGATTCTGCGTATAATGTCATAAGTAGATTCACTCTAAAAAAAAGATAACAAAAAGTGGATAAATGATAATGGGTAAGCATATGAACTCTTGAGGAGCACTTACAGTTAAAGTTTCATATCGATCTTTTACTTCTTGGAGTAGAATTTGATTATCTACAGACCCCGCCAAAAGTCTCCGAACGTCATCTTTCGGCTATTTCATACCGAATACATCATATGACTGTATAATACTGCGGT